CTCCCCCCGCCCCGCCTGCCCGCGGGGCCGGACCTGCGGGGGAGGTGGCCGCCAGCCAGCCAGCTGCTGCTTATCCGGCTCGGCCGCCTCCCCCGGGGCCACAATCGGAGAGCCGCAGGGTCCTCGGGCGGCAGGCACCAACGATCCTCCGACCCTCAGCCCCTGGCCTGAGCTTCGGGCACGTGTTGATCGGCGCCCCCTTCTCCGATTTAAAGGGTGCAGAACTCCCGGACCAACTCTTAACCGGGACAAGGGGGGCGTGTGGAGGCCAGGGTGGTAACTTCTGGGACCCACTCGCTCCCTTCACCTGAGGGACAGCTCAAATCCACGTCCATTGTATAACCGAGGTTGAGTGGCAGGCCAAGTTCACACAGGTGGCAAGAGGCCAGGGCACCAGAGTCAACCTGGCTTCCTTCCTTCCTTCCTTCCTGCAAGGGGAGCAGGCAGTACAGGCCCCTCCTGGATGAGGCTGCATCCCGGCCTTTGGTTCCTTGTTTCTCCTCTGTCCCTTGTCTACCCTTAGGGCAGAACTCTGACCCTCCTGAAAAGTCCTCAGTTTCAGGTCCTGGGAGCTGGTGGAGGGCCCTTGGGAGCTTGTCTCTCTGTCTAGACTTCCTGGGCTTCAAACCACCCCTCCGCCCCTGAGAAAGATGACCTCCAGCCCTGGGCACTGTCCTCCCCTCCCCCATGCTAGTGGCATCCCACACAGCAGTGAGTCAGGTGCAAGTTAAGGATATCTCTTGGGTACCTTTCTGGAGGTGTGTGCCTTCACCTGAAGCCCTTTCTCACCTACAACCTCACATCACGTGCTGCTGACAGCTCTACCTCCCCCTTTTACAGGTGTGGACATGGGGACCCTGATGGTTGTAGGGCACCAATGTCACTCATCTTCTGGGAGGCTGACTGGGGGTTACCTGACCCCTGGGACTCTCTGGATTATTCCTGTAGTACATATTCCGCCAGCCCTTGATAAAGAGCTTCAAATTACTCCAGGATAACAACCTGTTCTGGAGAGATAAGTTCTAGGGAGGGGTTATCTGATCCCTGAGACCAGAGAGGCAGGGGCCTGGGCCTCGGGAATGGCCCCAGAGCTAGACCACAATGGGGGAGGGGCAGACCTGGCGGGGTGGTGGGGTGCGGGGCCTCTCCTCCATCCTCCGACCCTGTGGAGACCCACCCATGAGCATCTTGTGCTTCCTTACTTCCACAGGTTTCCTCCTGCCTAAAATACCCTCCTTCCCCAGCTCGCTGCTCTGCCAGGCCCCAAGGCTCAGGTCCTCTCCCACCTCCTTCGGTGACCCTCCTGCCCCACCCTGCCCCAGGACCTCTCTGAGCTCCTGTGGCAGTTCTCATTGGTCTTCGTGCATTCAACACTCAGGGAACCCCACCATACCAGTGTTCCAGGTGCTGGGGACACAGATACCCCATGCCTCGTCCTGGCCCTTGGATAGCAAGTTGCCTCTGCAGTGGGTTGTAGACTTTGGGGAGACAAGAATGAGCACCTAGCCCTCTTTGGTGCCCTTAGCATGGTGCCCTGCACACAGTAGGTACTCTTTAAGTATCTGCTCTGGCTGATGGGGGGGGTCTCTGAGCACCCTTCCTGTAACTCCAAAGGGAGACACAAGGAGATGAAGCTTGGGAAATGGAGATGCTGAGAGGTCTTCCAGCGTTCTCAAAGGATCTGTCCAGAATCCTTCCAAAGAGACCTGGCGGGCCTCTGAGGGGCTCCCAATGAGTTGGAGAGCGAGCTGAAGGCTGGAGTGGCAGAGATGCACCGAGGAATGTCCTAGTAGAACATGAACTTCTGCAAGAGGACAATCAGGGCCCTGAAAGCCACAGGGAGGGAGGGAGGTGAACACGCTGCTGAGGCCAAGCACCTTGGTGGACAGAGCACCACCCACGCCGTTGGGCTTCAGTGCTTTGCCTGTCTGTCTCCCTATCTCGCCTGGCATGGGGCCTGGTGAGGGTGAGAGCTCAATACATGTTTCCTGGGGCCAGACTCCCCAGAAGCAGACTAGCCCTCTGCTGAGCAGGGAGGAAGAGTGGCACTGACACTGGTTGAACACTTCCTCTGTGCCAGACTCGTGTCCTTGGCCAGGCTAAGGGCAGAGCAGTTGAAGCCATCTTTTTGAGACATTTGTCAGATCATTTTACTCCTCGGCTCAAAACCTGCCCTGGCTCCCTGGTCTCTCGGAGTCAAAGCAAAGTCCTGGTAATGGCGACCAGGCCCAGTGGGACCTTGTGTCCGGTTCCCCTCTCTCTGCTCTCTCAGCCCTGCGGTGCTGGCCTTTTCCCTCCCTCCTCTGGAGCTTTGCAGAATATCACCTCCACGAGACCCACGCCCCAATCATTCCCATCCGTCATCTGTGTACCCTGCCCTATTTCTTTTCTTTTCACTTAGCCTTTTTTCCTTCTAACACACTATAAAACACACCTTCTCTGTTTGCTGTTTATTAACTGTCTGCCCCCACAGAAACGTGAGCTCCTCCAGGGAAGGGAGTTTTATCTGCTTCCTTCACTTCTGTGTTCCCAGTGCGTGGATCAGAGCCTGGCACACAGTCGGTGCTCTGTAAATAGTTGTTGAATGAATGCACTGCCATTCTCAACCTTCTGCATCTCCCAGCGTCTCTGGGAAGCTTCCCCAGGGCTCCTGCCCACCTCTGGTCTCCCGCCTTGCTTGCCCCAGAGCTAGCACACTGCAGGCACACAGGAGGCGCTCAGTACACGCACTGGTGGATATCTGGACCTGGAGCCCCTGGATGTCAGTCTCCTGATATTACCCTTTTTCCTGAAGACAAGGCTACTCATTTGGCTAAGAAAATGAGAGTATTCAGGAAGAGGATCTAGATTCATCTCCTACCTGGGCCAGAAAGAAGGACAGAAGCTCTGCTTCTTGGATTGATCCCGCACTTATAAGCTGAGACAGAGCACATCCATTTCACAAAATAAATACTCTAAATGACTGCTAAATCAAGATGATCACAAGAACCCATGTGCTGGATGTATTCTGACAGCCTGGCTGGGAGCCAGGCCACCTGAACCTAGCCCTGCCCAGGCCAGGCTGTGGGCCCAGGGAAGGTCCCCTGTCCTTTACTGCCCAGCCCAGGCCAGGTAAGACTCCTCCAACCAGGCCTCTGGGCACAGGGAGCTGCTTCTTCCTGTGAAGGACGGAGAGGGGCTGCGGCTTGGGGTAGGGATTCTGAGGGAAAATGGAGGGGTTGTCTCTTCCTCCTGGAAGACCCAGTGGATGAAGCCATGTCTAAGGCACCCAGAGGTGAGGCAGGGCAGCGGGTGATGGGCATGGTCTGTGAGGGGCAGGCACCGGATGGGGAGGCAAGCTGCAAAAATGTGCTCAGGGCCTGGCGTTTAAGCTTAGACTCTTTCACGTGGCAGTTTATTTCTAGCCAATATTGCAAGGCGTTATAAGGCATGGCTAACAGAGCACCAGGCACTGCCCCTGTCCCTGCACCCCAGGGCTTGGTACTCTGCTTTTGCATAAGCCTCACCCTCCTTCTAGTTCTCTATTGAAACATGAGCTCTCTCCAGAAGAAAAGCTCTCTGAGCTCAGTGGGATGAGAAACTGTGTATCCACAAGAGATTTAACTGTGGCAGCACAAGAGTGTGGACAAGGTTCGAAAGGCAGATGCTTTCAGGGGGACAGCTGGGCAGATAAAGGACTAGGGGAGGGGTGGCCTGCAGCAACCATTTTGCTAAGGAAGCTCTGGCACATGGTATGTACTTAATCTCTGTGTGAGACCAGGCATCTTGGCTTGTGACTGGACATCCATGGCCAGCGGGAACTATGGTAGCACTGCGTTGCCTTCAGTTGGGGGGAGATTGCACAGGTGCACAACTAGAGAAGTCTGGGCTTTAGCCCCTTGCTCCAAGGCTGGTGCACGTGGCGGCCTGGGAGGTTTTTAGAATGGCAGAGTCTCAGACCCACCCCAGATTTGAATCAGAAATGCATTTTCACAAGACCCGCCGGAGATGGTATGCACATTAATGTTTGAGAAATTATGGTCTACAGCACAGATGAGAAAATGGACAACTCCTTGAACACCTGGGCCAGGGCAGATCATCAGAAACCTGTACTGGGCTGCGTTCACCCTCACTGGGTGGTTGTTTAATACCATCCCCTTTGCTTTCTCAAAGGTCCTTGTGAACCAAATAACCTGATTTCATGCGCTTCTGAATTCTTATAAATATGAAGTAAATGACTGTCCTGCACAATACTCAGTGCCTATTATACAAAGCTCTGAGAAAAAAATATAAGACTAGTATGCTTATTCCTTTCCAATTGCTGATCTTATTTCCCTTTTTACCATGGCGACTAGGATACTCAGACCCATATTCATGACTATATTATCCTTACTAAATGTATTTAAGTTCTGCTTTATTTTCCCCCAGCCCATGATTTTCTGTGTCTAGTTTACTATTAACTGTATTGTGAAGCTTTTCGTTATAAGGTGTTCTAAGTTGCTTTTGGAAAAAGCCAATTGTTTAAGCAAAATAAATAGGTAACATCTGTGTGCTACAGTGGCAAATTCTTTTTCCCCTGGGTGGCCGTTACCCTTTCATGGCAAGAACAGGGTCATTCCCATCCTCTGCTGGATTTTTGAGAAGAGGACGGAGGGCTTGGGAAAAGGATGAGTCCATGGACTTCTGCCCAAAGTTACTGAGAAAAGAAAGCCCAAAAAGCTAGGCGACACTGGGGAGGTGGCGGTGGGGTATTGTGACACTAACCCTGTGCTCCTGCCTGCTCTCTCCCTGCCAGTCAGTTCCCAGCTCACCTGATTGGGGGTGCAAGGTGCTGTCCTCCATGTCAGGCGACTTTTCCCAGCCCGGGGCAGGGGCCCTGCTCACCAGGGGCCCCAGCGGCAGGCTCTCCATGTGCTGTTTCTTCTGCTGCTAGGCCCCCTATTGGGTGGCCAGCGCTTACTTGGCATGGCGTGGGGGTGGGTGGGGCGTGGGGAGAGTCAGCTGAGGCTGCTCAAGGGCAGGAGGGTCAGAGCCCGGCCCAGCCCAGATGGGCGTCACTGACCTCAGGGTTATCTGCAAACACACTGTGGTCAGCAGCCCAGATAAGCCCTCCCTCCAGTCCTGGGGATGTTTTCAACCAGCTTAATTCTCCGCTTCCTGGATCCTGGCTCCCAAGGGGAGGAGGGAAGTGGCATTTTTGAAGACCCACCTTGAGCCAAGGACTGTGCCACGTTTAAATCACCTGCTTTAAGGCCCATCCAGACATTGTGAGGTGAATGGAATCAGCCCCATTTTCAGATGAGGAAAGCATCCTGCAGTGAGGAAATGGTAGAGCTGGGACTCGAACCAGGTCTGCCTGACCACCGGGCAGTCTACCTCTGTCTCACGAGGTGGACGGCTCCTGTGGGCAGTGGCCAGCACACCTTGCGCCAAGGACTGGGGCCAGCTCAGTGTTGGGGGAGAACAGGGGCGGTCCATGCAACGTGACCAAAGGGGAGACGAACCTGGGTCACTCCCAAACACTTGTAGCCCTGTCCCACCTAGGTGAGAGCCTATGAGCCACACCTCCCCGGCCTCTCAGAGGTGATGGCTCCACCAATGTGTCTACCTGAGATTTGCACAGCCTGGAAGCAGGTCTGCGGAATGTGAGGTAGGATTTCAAGACTCTGGTTCTTTCCAGTGTACTGCCTGATTTCATTGACACGCACAAGCGAGCCATCATCTCAGAGTCATGTGTAGATGTTTGCTGGTCCCTGGCAGCATGTGAGAAGCCAGGTCCCTGCAGGACATATAAGGGAGATAGTGGGCCAAATCTGGTACATGTGCCAAGGGCCACGGCCACAGTCAGCCAGGTACTGGGGCCTCCAGGGAGGAGAGGGACCAGGCCTTGGTCTTTGGAGGCATCTGCAGGGCAGAGCAGCACATTGACCTGGGTCCCATCGTGGTCTCTCCACTGAACCTTGGTTTCCTCAGCTGCAAGATGAGAGTATATACCTCCTCAGGTGGTTGTGAGAATGAGGTGATAAATTGCCAGGAAAGTGCCTGGCGCTTAGCAGGTGCTCAATAAAAGTAGTCAGCCATTAAGGAAGGGTGAGAAGGGCAGACGGCTGAAAGAGCCATTTCTATAGGAACTGCACTTATTGTCAGGCCCCTCTCTTCCCACTTCGAAAAGTCTTCTTCTGTGTCCTGATCTAAACTCTCCCTGCCTCTGAGAAGCCCTCAGGGAACTGGCTCTCCTCTGACCCCATGTCAAGGACCTCCAGGGGGGCAATGAATGCCAGCTACGTCTGCCCCATCCCGTGGTCAGCGGACACTGTGGGCCTCCTAGTCAGCCTCCGGGCCGACTGTAGAATCATCTTCCTGGGTCTTCCGCTCCTGTCAGCTCAAGGTGTCTGAAAACATAGTGTCTGAAAGTTCCCCCACTGCCTTGAGAGTCCTGTGAACAGGCCCTGCCCTGTGCATGATCTGGGGGTCTCTGAAAAGTGCTGCAGCAGATGGGGCTGGGGACGAAGGGGACAGATGAAGAGAGGACTGGTTTGCCTATGGGTGAAAATCGAGGCTTTATCCTGCTGGCCCTGGGGGGCCAGGAAGATTTGAAGAGGCATGAGTGTGTGTGATAATAATAGCTAACAGTTTTTGAGGCATCCTGTATACCAGGCACTGTTCTAAGCATGTTAACTGTATTAACTCATTTAATCCTCGTATGGTCAGGTCATTCAAGATGGCTGTTCTCTTGTTCTCTGTATGTCCCCTCCTCAACCAGGCCCTGCTCCATCCACATGGCTAACTAATCCTTTTAATTATGGGGCTTGATTAGTCCCTGGTAACTGATAAGCCCACCTGACTTCAATTCCCCTATAAATGGTAGCCTCCTTCTCCCCTGAGTAGCAAAGACTGCTGTCATGTCCCCCCCACCATCTGCCACATGTGGTGGGGTGTCACTCCAGAACCCTTTGTGCAAGATCCCCCTGTCCAATAAACTATTTAATTTAATTAATTTATTTAATTAATTTGTTTTTTTGGCTACATCGGGTCTTAGTTGCAGCACGTGGGGTCTTCGTTGAGGCGTGCGGTTTCTTTCTTTGCGGCATGGGCTCTTCCTTGTGGCATGTAAGCTTCTCTCTGGTTGTGGCGTGTGGGTTTCCTCTCTCTAGTTGTGGCACGTGGGCTCCAGAGCACATGGGCTCGGTAGTTGAGGTGCTCGAGCTCAGTAGTTATGGCACATGGTCTTAGTTGCCCCGTGGCATGTGGGATCTTAGTTCCCCGACCAGGGATCGAACCAGCGTCCCCTTCATTGGAAGGCAGATTCTTTACCACTGGACCACCACGGAAGTCCCTGTCCAATAAACTATTGATATCTCTGTTGCTGTCTCTGGGCTCTTTCTTTGGTCTCGAGGCTGGGCAGCTGCAAGGCTTGCAAGCCTGCAGGGTGCAGCCCAACAGCCTTCATGGTACATTTTCCCCATTTTCAAATGAGGAAACAGGTATGGGGAGGTTAAGTCACCTGCTTAATGGGAAACAGATAGTGGTAGAGCTGGGATTGAAACGCAGTGGATGTGTTTTGGTGCCCACCCCCTACCACTACCTTCCTGTTGTCCAGAAGCTGTTCATTTCCAAACCTCTTCTCTCTCTGGCAGCCGTGGGGCTGGGTCATAAAAGGCACATGAGAGGCTCGGAGGGCCTGTGTTTTGAAATCTACTTAGAGGACACAATAAGTCTAGTAAATCTTGGGTGTTGGGAGCTCCTCACCCAGGCCTAAGGGCTGCACATTTAATCAGAGTTCAAAGCAACTGCCCAAGTAGGCCTCTGGCTGGGGGTATAAAGGGGGTGCAGAAAGGTCATTTAGCCGAGGTCAAATCTCTTGCCTTCAGGAGTCCAGGAAGGGAAGTGACTGTAGGACCTGTTGCCCACCTACTGACTTTGATACCTGGTGAGAACAAGGCTTTTGAACTGACAAGGATCTAGGTTTGATTCCTGAGCCTCAGTTTTCTTATCTATAAAATGGAGACGATGACAGCAGGGGAGTAAACCAAGCGCAGATGGTACAATTAGGTTTGAACACAGGTTAATTCCCCACCTCCCCTCACCTATACTCCTTGGTTCCTTATTCTCCTCTGCCTCAATCAATCCCCTGGATTCCAGTGCCTGAGGGGATGGAAGGAGGATGCTAGGACCCAGGGTACACTCTGTTCCTTGGCCCTGGCCCAGTCCTGGCTGGAAGGCCTGAATTGGGTGGCTGCAAGGCCCAGTCTTCCCTCAGCTCTCCCCTCACAATCTTTCCTGAAGTTCCAGGAATCCTCATTCTCCAAGGGTGGGAAGCAGGGAGGGACCCATCTTTCCCCTTTCTGCTCCAGGCTCATCTGGCTACTCTGCTTCTGGAACTGCTCTGTGAAGGCTGGAGCCTCCTGGGCATGTTCTCCAGCTCCGAGGAGTTTTTGAACCCAAGTTCATGTGCCCGACACACAGTGAGGCCAAGCAAATCAAAACGTCGGAGTTTGGAGCAGAGAGAGGTTTATTGCAGGGCCGAGCAAGGAGACTGGGGACTCATGCTCAGAAGACCTGAACTCCCTGATTGTTTTCAGGGAATAGTTTTTTTTTTTTTTTTTTTTTTTTTTTTTTTGCGGCCCGCGGCCCTCTCACTGTTGTGGCCTCTCCCGTTGCGGAGCACAGACTCCGGACACGCAGGCTCAGCGGCCATGGCTCATGGGCCTATCCGCTCTACGGCATGTGGGATCCTCCCGGACCAGGGCACGAAACCATGTCCCCTGCATTGGCAGGCGGACTCTCAACCACTGCGCCACCAGGGAAGCCCTCAGGGAATAGTTTTTATAGGCAACACTGGGGTGAGGGCTGCAGGGTGCATGACTTTCTTCTGATTGATTGGTGGTGAGGTAGCAGGGTGGTGCTCCAGAATCTTGTGCTCAGCATGGAGTCACCATCCTCCACATGGAAGGGGTGAGGGCTTAGTTCCTGTAGAACACTCATAGATGTGTATCAGATTCTTATCTCTTGAGGAGGAACTAGGACTCTGCTTTATCACTGCACTGTTGTTTCTTGACTGTTTTTCCTCTGATTCTGCATTCCCTTACTTCCCTAATTAGTAACTGTTTGAATCTGCCCTTTGGAACTCACAGAAGGTCTAGAAGGCTGAAGCCTTTTTCTACAAATAAGAAATGGAGGACATGGAAAGGCTTTTGTACGCGGGAGGGCCCTGCAGGGTCCTGCTCAGGTTCAATCTTCCCTTTTCTTTGATACTCCTCCATCTTGAGGAGAGCATGTGCAAGACAAAAAAGGGAATAAAGTCTTGGATCGAGAGGTTAATCATGAACTTGGTAGAGGAACTGGGCTTTAGGGGGACTCAGTTTCAATGGGACCACAGGCACGCCAGCTCCTCTGGTTCTGGTTCCAGCTCTGCTGCAGCCACTGTGACCATGGCTGAGACCCTTCCCCTCCTTGGGCCTCTGTTTGCCCAGATATAAAATGAGGGTGGGTTTCAAATGCTCTGAGGAGCCTGAAGTCCCTGCAGATGCCTCCGCGGGGTGAGAGACTAGTCCAAGGGTGGGACTCCAGGCTGCGCCCACCCCTCTTCTAGAGCATGGCTACCATTACCTGTCTCTGTGTGAAATCAAGTTGAATGCCCTTGGATTAGACATCCGGAAAGTCCCCTCCACATTTAAGATTCTAATCTGGTTAAATTAGGGCTACTGAGGAGTGGGGAATGATCCGAGTTGCCAAGTCCTGCCTTTCCCAGGTGCTGGGAACTTCTGGTGGTCACAGCTAAAGGCAGTGGGTAGTAGGCCCTGATGGGGGGTTCGGGGCAGCACGTAGGTGAGGGCGAGGAGGGGAAGTGCAGGCCCATGGGAGACATTTTCTGCTGGAGGTGGGGCAGAGACTCTGGGTACCCTCTTGAC